GAGATGTGATTCAGTTCTAGACTATGGGAGCCAGAGAGAATCCACTGTAAAGCAAATATGAAATGAATTCTTTGGAGATAGTAAATACAAAGGAGCTGTGGGAGAAGAGGTCCTATTTTTTGCTTCCTGGTTTTGGATGTTGATGCATTAGAATGTGAACGTGCACCTGCTGTAGTGATCCTACAGCCAATGGGAGAGCACTGAGAGGGTCCCTGCAGTAAGCCAGTGAACCCTGACATTGCCACGCCCTGATGCATGTGTTCTTGGAATGGCCTGTATTCTTGTTTCTTAGTAGTCATGAAAAATAAGCTCTTTTTGTTTAAGCAGACTTCAGCTTGGGTTTTTGTAACTTGCAGCCAAAAGCATTCCTAGTGAATACAATTTTAAACCCAGTCTTCTTCATACATACCTCCAGGATTTCCCCATTTCAGTTCATTCTCCACACTGACAGAGTAGCCATCTTTCTGACATGCCAAGCTGATTATGCCACCCACCCCTAGCTGAGTGCATTAGGGGTACCCTTTGCTTCCACGGCTCATACAGTTTCACATGCCCCCGATTACCTTTTCAGTCTCAGATTCTGTTAATTCTCCTGTCACTATGGCTATGGTCCCTTTGAATTGTCTGTGACTCCTGGAAGACACTATAGTATTTAACACCTTTGAGACTTTAAAACCCTTCTTTCTGGAATATTCCCTAAATCCACTATCCCCCTAACAAATACTCACCCATTTTCAAGACCCAGCTCAAATATTTATCCCTTCCATAAGGAGGCTTTCCATGGCCACTACCTCCTAGTTCAAGGAGACTTGTTTCACTCTCTCCATCATCCCTGAAGTCTACAGAAGGCAGTATGGACTTTCAGGGTAAAATGTATAACATTGTTTATTCATTTATTTATCATTTTCCTTTTAATTACCATTTCTCATTCATCTTCAGATCCCTAGAACCTAACAACATACCTGGAACACAGCAGATGTCTAATAAATGTCTGTAAGAATAAGTGTTTGAGAAGATAAATGGAAAGATCATGTTTGTATTACAGAGTAACCACTGACATATATTTTAAAACTCATTTAAAACATTCCCTTGTAATTTCTCTCTCATTACTAATGAATTATAATATTTTGAAGCTGGAAACTTTATCTGTGAAGCTTACAAGACAAGAACTATCTTACTGTGCATGCTGAAATTGACTCTAAGATCTCTACACAGTATGTTTCTTGCTCCTTTGTAGAAAATCAAAGAGCAAGATTTTCTCCTGTCTTTATTCATGTCAGACGTTATTTAAAATCAAAGAAATATGAAAAGAGAAATCAAGTTATTTATTAAATAATATCTTAAGATTGTTATTAAAAAAGAAAGGGTCATGAACTTTATCCAATAAGTATCCAGTAATGATTAGTCTATTTTTTTAGATTTTTTTAAAAGATTTTATTTATTTATTTGACAGAGAGAGAGAGATAGCAAGAGCAGGAACACAAGCAGGGGGAGTGGGAGAAGGAGAAGCAGGCTTCCCGCTGAGCAGGGAGCCCGATGCGGGGTTCGATCCCAGGACTCTGGGATCATGTCCTGAGTCAAAGGTAGACGCTTAACAACTGAGCCACCTAGGCACCCCAGTAATGATTAGTCTAATACTGAGTCATTTTTTATGTGACCATATAATATTTTTCTTTTTATCAAACCTCCATGTCACATGACCCTGTTTTTTTCAGACACTCACAAAAGCTAGACATTTTTACTGCAACTGGTTTAGACAGCTATTGCTTTCTACTGAGGGGTTCCCTACATCACACTTCCCCTCCTGTTGGGAGGCTCTGGAGCGCCATGGGTCTTTTTGACATTTGGCTTAAAGAGAAGTTGACTAGGAGATACATTTAATTTGGATATGGGGGGATAGATTTATGTGGTTTGCAGTCACTTCTGAGTCTCATTAGGCTATTTTGAGACATCCTTGTGTGGGAATGGCTTCCAGGAATTCTTTACCATCCACTCCCGAATTAACCCAAAGTTTTTGACTTGAAGATGTAGAACCAGAGGTCATATGTCAGTATGAATTTGCTCCATGGCATTCAGCACAGGATGAGTAGTAGAGAAAACAGTTTGAAATGATGGAGTCAGAAGCTAGTCTATGGAAAAGATATTATAGAAGTATGGCAAGCAGTTAAGTAGTAAAAATACACCTTTTGGAATTTTGTAATATTTATGATTTTTGTTAGTGTTTAATTTTTGTGATTTCTTTTAGCATTTAACACATGTTTAATTTTGTACTTAATTTTATATTTTTTATGTTCTTTTTCATAAAGAGGGTTCTCAACATTGTATAAACTGCATGCTTTACAAAACCTAGATCTTCCCTAGATATACGTATGTCGGAATATAGTTTCCATAGAACCGATGCAGGATTAAGCTAGCTATTAGTTTTGTTATTTTTAATTTTTATCTTATTTTATTATATTTCCAGTTCAGCCACTTCATAGAGGAGGAGGACACAAATAAATCCTCCCTCTTCAGATCACTGCAATTTTAATCTATACCAAATTTGTTATGTTTTTAAATGACTTGCTGATAATGTGTCTCACTAAAACTTTCTTGTGTTAGGAATTTTGTAGACTTTCTAGAGAAAATTCAGGATATTTGCTGTAAATAGGGCCTAAGTTTTTATTTTTTTTAATTTTAAAAATATTTTATTTATTTATTTGAGAGAGAGAGAAACTAGAGAAAGTGAGTGCACAAGAAGTAGGGAGGGGCAGAGAGAGGAAGAAGCAGACTCCCTGCTGAGCAGGGCTGGATTCCAGGACCCCAGGATCACGACCTAAGGCAAAGGCAGACGCAGAACTGCCTGAGCCACCCAGGTGCCTCAAGGTCCTGTTTTTAAAAAGATGGCATATTTTAATTCTTATTCACCCTTACTACTCAGATACAGAGCTGGGTATTGTGCCATGGAGGGCATAGCTAATATCTTGCCAGATTGGGTAAGCAGGTGAGGGGAGAATTCATTTCAACAGAGCATCATAATTGAACTTTGACAAATCTTTTTTTCCATCCCATTGTATAATGCTATTTTTTGTTTCATTTTTCTTTTTCTCTAAGGTTATCATTTCTTTCTTTCTTTCTTTCTTTCTTTCTTTCTTTCTTTCTTTCTTTTTTTTTCTTTTCTTTTTTTTTGGGGGGGGTTTTCTTTATGGAGTAGAGCAATATGATGAGAGTAGAAAGATAGTGTAAATCATTCTGTGACTTTCAGGGAAGGGCCTGCTCTTGAATACCTTTATATTTTGGGAGAAAAGCTAATTTTAATTCCCTGACCTTATTTAGCTGTAAGTCACATGAAGTGTTCAAATTTTAAGTGCTGAAACCTAGGTGGTCATGGCGCTTTGTTCTTGAAGAAAGATGGTAGTGCAGCACCATGGATTTTCAAAAATGCCTCTCCTGTAGTGGTTTGAATGCTGGCATAGTTTTGTATTTTTCCAGGTGTCGCACCTTGCCTTTGGATTCAACCTGTGACTTCTGTGTGCTCCTAGAAATTTAGGTCTTTGTTGCTGGTGACAGGGAGGAAAGCTACCTCTGGGATCTACAATAAAATTTTGGGGTCCAGTATGTAATACATATTCTTTCCATGGTCTTCTAAGAATGATTCGTTATAGCTCTGTGCCTTTCTGTTTCTGTGCCGTATGTGCTCTTCTGCTGTATATTCTGTAAGTTTTCTACCAAGTGCCATTATGGGCAATCTCAGTGCAAATACCTGGAATAGTTTATTAGGTCTTTCATGACCCAAAGTAGTTTTCATCAATCTTGTCCCTTCTTTCACTCCTATTTGAGAACCAAATTTCTATTTAGAGGAATGACTTTCCTTCCTGGTCCTGGGACCTGTTGACTTAATACGCCACCTAGCCTTTCACAAGATTGTCATATTTGTCAGATAATCTGCTTTTATTAGATCCAGCAAAAAAAAATATACGTTTCAGGATAAAATTTGCCATTCATTTTTCTGTTTTTTACTTCGTTATTATTTTCAATATTTATTTTAAAAATAAATCATATTTATTTAACCATTCATTTCAAGGGGCGCTTGGGTGGCATAGTTGGTTAAGTGGCTTGCTCTTGGTTTTGACTCAGGTCATGATCTCAGGGTCCTGAGGTCAAGCCCCACATCAATTTCCACATTGGGTTCTGGACTCCCTGCTCAGCATGAACTCTGCTTCAGGATTCTCTCTCTCCCTCTGTCCCTCCCCCAGCTCACTTGTGAGCTCTCTCTTTTTCCCTCTCTCTAAAATAAATACATCTTTTAAAAAATTTAACCCACAAAAACTCCATTTTTTTTTTTTACAATTATAAGATTATTAGTTCAGGCAGTGGTCTCAAAATGTGATGTTAGATATAGTTCAGGTGGGGATTATAATTAAGATTAAATTTTTAACCAGTTTTTAAGACAGAGTATCTATACATAGGGAAAAAAAATAAAAAAGGAGGTTTTCCTATGAGCCCTATGGCATTTGTTTTGCACACTACCAAAAAAAGAATTCTTTAACCAAGTGAATACTAAGAAATAACTCGAGTTTTAGTTGGACTCACTATGTATTATCACTTCATTTATTAATTTATTCCAACACAAATTTATTGAATTCTACCCTGTGTGTTGTGGAAATTCAGTGAGCAAGAGGACTGAATAAGAGTTAACAACCTCAGAACATTTCTTCGTTTTATAAAGCCTGCTTACAAAGAATTATATCTAGGGTCTATAGGAGCCAGTGTTTTGAAGTCACTGCAATACATTTTTAGTGAAGGACACACTTTGTTTGAAGGGATCCAATCCTTGTATTCTATGATGTGAGAGCTTTCTTCATCGGCTGTAAAGACATCTAACACAAGAGCAAATCAAATTAATGAGCTTTTTGTGGTCTCAAGAATGAAAATTGGTGTCAAGAATGAAAATGAGGCCCTTGTGTTTTTAACCACACCCCACAGCCAGGGTATATAAAGAAGGTTCTGAGCCTGAGGACTCATCACACAGAGAAGACACATTCCCCTGCTACCTGAGCCCTCCACTCCTGACACCATGTACTGCAACACCTTCTCCGGTGCCGTCTTCCCAGGATGCTACTGGGGCAGCTACGGCTACCCCCTGGGGTACAGCGTGGGCTGTGGCTACGGTAGCACCTACTCCCCAGTGGGCTATGGCTTTGGTTATGGCTACAATGGCTGTGGGAACTTCGGCTACAGAAGATACTGGCCATATGATCTCTACTGATTTGCTGAAATTGCTGAGGCGTAGAATCTTCTCTCCCAAGGCTGAGAGGCGCCCCTCCACGTCCCTCCTTTACTTCCTTCTTGAGTCCTCCTTTGCTCCTTCACCTCCCAGTTGCTGCTTCTCAGACCTAGCACCAGAGTCCAGAGGGAAGGAGATGAAAAAGCAGATGACGCCTCCAGCTGCCTTCCCTGGATGATGTTCTTTGAGACATTTTCGGAAACTTGATGCCCAAACATGTATTTCTTCTGAATTTTTCACCACGCTCATGACTCTTGATAAAGTTGTGGATGTGTGTGTTGAATTCTCAATAAACTTGTCTCAATCAGCATAATACTCTTACCTGAGCAGTTTCCTTTCTTGGTGTGCGCATATTTTCTGTTACATTGAGTGGGGAGGGAAGTGGATTTATTTTTCTCTTGTGGGCTTTGGGAGCAGTAAGAAAGCAAATAATCCTAGATCTGGTGTGATAAACAGGCAAGAAGGGGCTACTTGTAAAGGGAAAAAAAAGTCTCTCTTCACCTTTTACCTCTGGCATCTACCTCCAATCCTTGCGCCAATGGGGCACCACTCAGCGCTTGGTGTTTCTCATCTCACCACTCCTTCCCCTCCTCAAGGAAACCCAATATTATTTCCATATTTTTTCCAGTTATTTCCATATTAGTGCAAATGAAACCCACTGTGTTCCCTCTGCCAGGGATGAAAGAATGTAGAATAAAATACCATGTTCCCTACTAAAAGATTCTGAAGTCTCAAGTAATAGAATAGCTATAGACATATTTTAGGAGCCTGAGAGCCTTTTAGGGGAAGGGATTATTCCCTTATATCAAAACACCTATGGTATTTATTTTACAGCTTAGAAACAAGGATGGAAATCTTCTTAATCTTTGTACAATAGATACCAGGTAGTGAGTTTTACTCTTTAAAGATATGAGTAACTTTTCATAAACATGGGGAAAAAGTAACTATAAGGAAGTGTTTCTTTTTTTTTTTTTAAGATTTTATTTATTTATTCATGAGAGACAGAGAGAGAGAGAGGCAGAGGGAGAAGCAGGCTCCCCGCTGAGGAGGAAGCCCGATGCAGGACTCGATCCCAGGACCCCGAGATCATGACCTGAGCCGAAGGCAGACTCTCAACCATCTGAGCCACCCAGGCGCCCTAAGGAAGTGTTTCTGAAGATAGACTATCTCTGTGTTCCTTTAGCGAAAAGAGCTATATTCCTTTCATAAGCCAAGTCAAAAATGTCTCAGTCCTCCTGTTGAAGACATTTTATGTATAGTAAAAATATTCTTGGTGACAGCAGGATTTGGCTTACCCTTACTCTTTTACTGAATATCTGCACATGGCTATATTGCCTCTGATTCACCTTGTAGCTAAAAATGTAAAGGCTGTTTGGAGAGATTATTTTAGAAGAGAGTATTTTCTCCACCATATTTCATCCAACAGATACCTTTTTAAAAAAATTCAAAAACATCTCGTTCAAGGATTTACTTAGTGGATTCTTTCCCAGGAGATTATTGTGATAGCCAATAAAATCTCCAGTTTGAAACTTTCTAGCAGCTGCATATTAATTCATGCTGAGAATTATAATTTAATCAAACACATATGCTAGAATAGGAAAAGAAAAGAGGGGTTTTTCGGGAATTACAGGGTCAGGTTGAAACTAGAAGATGTCTATTTCATCGTTCTAGAATGATGACTGAGTTATATAAAATTTGTGTTTGAAGAGACCTCAGAGAGGTATCTTACCCCAGTATTTCTGAAACTGTGGTATGCAGGGGAATGGGGAGCTGGCCTAAAGAGTAAGTCGTTATGCCTCTCCTCTAGGAATTTTGACTTGGTACATCTGAGGTATGGTCCAGAAATACAAATTTTTTTCAACTTAATTGAGGTATAATTGACAAATAAAAATTGTATAGATTTAAGGTGTTCAACAGAATGTTTTGATGTGTGTAGACATTGTGAAATGATAACCACAGTCAAGCTAATTAACATATTATTCACCACCTCATATGGTTAGGATTTTTATTTCAGGTATATGAAAGGGAGCTCAAAATCATTAGTCATTAGGGAAATACAAACCAAAACATAATGAGTTATCACCTTACATGTGTTAGAATGGCTCTTATCAAAAAGATAAGAGATAAGTATTGGTAAGGATGTGGAGAAAAGAGAACCCTTATACAGTGTTTGTGGGATATATAAATTGGCTCAGCCACTACAGAAAACAATATGGAGGTTTCTCAAAAAATTAAAAATAGATCTACCATATGATCCAGCAATCCCTCTTCTGGGTATATATGTATCCATAGGAAATGTAATCATTATCTCAAAGAGATATCTCTACTCCCATGTTCATTGCAGCATTATTCATAGTAGCTTAGATATGGAAACAGTATCTCTTCATGGACAGATGAATGGATAAAGAAAATGTAGTATATATACAATGGAATATTATTCAGCCTTAAAAAAGAAGGAAATCTTGTCATTTGTAACAACATGGATGAACCAGAAATCTAAAGTTTTTAGAAGTACCCCAGGGCTTCTAGCTCAGGTGGTCTAAGTTCCACATTGTAAGAAGCACTGTTTCAGGGCCATTACTTACACACACACACACACACACACACTCTTATTTATTATCTATCTGTCTATCTATCTATCTATCTATCTATCTATCTATCTATCTATCTATCATCTATCATCTATCTATGATCTATCTATCCTTAGGTAGCTAAATCTTGAAAAAGGAAAATCCTTTACATCACAGGCTAAGGACAAAGGAAGAAATCCTTTACACCCAAAGATGCAGGAGATGGGCACTGAAGTACATCTATGCTTGTCACATTTCAATCACCATACTGGGGCTGAAGGTTTTGATGCCATGCTCTGCTTAAAGGAGAAAGTGTATTATTTGATGATTTTATAAATTCATATTTTCCTATATAATATGAAAATGTTCTACATTACTTGATATCATTCAGTGATTTTTAACTGTAATTCACTTCTATTACTTATAGTTTTTTAAAAAATGCATATACTCAGTCCCTCCTCTCTACCTCCCTTCTGATGGGAATATCTCCTACAGGGTATGGGAATTTGTATTTAAACAAATATCCCTGAGTAATTTAGGTTTGTACCACCAATTTGGAACAATTACAGGTCCTTTATTAAGGGTTTCATATCCCATCTTTTTCAGCTTCTTCTATTTATTTTGAAACTGGGAACTAAGATGTTTCATCTACATTTATGTTGGATTCATAAGAATGAAAACAGAATAAATAACATTTTATAGATAGAGTGAAAAAGAAGAGTGGGAAGAACATTTGATGCTACATCCAGGCTCAGCTGTGGTCTATAGGGGTGTAGTTAGCTCTTTGTTTCTTTCTTTTTTTAGAGAGAGAGAGAGAGAGGGAGTGAGCAGGGGGGAGGGGCAGAGAGTGAGTGAGAGAGAGTCTTAAGCAGGCTCCATGCTGAGCCTGGATGTGGTGTCAAGTCCCCAACGTGGGGCTTGATCTTAGGACCCATGAGATCATGACCTGAGCTGAAATCAAGAATTGGTCACTTAACTGACTGAGCCACCCAGGTACTACTAGGTATTTGTTTCTAATTGTACATCAGTTTTGGTATTGAGCTGAGCCAAGTTTAGTGCCCCGCACATAGTAGAAACTCAATAAATATGACTAGATTATCTCACAAATTTCTTCAATAAACATGAAAAAGATGTTAAACATCCATTTACTAATATCCAATAACTCTTCTTTAATTCATAGCCATTTGTGGATTGGAAGTCTAATGTCTGCACATTCGATGACTTGGATTCATCTCAGGTCACACATGAAGAAAAGTACTGTTTTTCTTTATTACCTTCCCATTAATTGTTTATTGCTCCTAATTATCTGAAAAACTAAGTTATGTATATTTAAGATTTCCCTGCTGAATAGAGCCTGTAGAACCCAGAAAGGTGATTTGAATATTAAAGGAATTTTATCTACAGAAGAAGAGAGAGGGAAACAAGGAAAGAAAGATTTGCCTTCACATTTTAGGATGGTTCAGAGTAATTCTTCCCAGAAGAAAGGCATGGTTAGAGGATATTCTGAAGTACTCCTTGAATTATTAGTCTGCAACTAAGCGGGGCACAGACAAAACTGCATGGCATCACCCTCACTTGAATGTAGAGGGCAGTGTTATTTCTACTCTGCTTACCATTTTCTTAATGACTTGTTTCCGTCTCCATAAAGGAGGGATATCAAATGCTACAAGTTTCTTAAAAATTTTATTTAGAGCATTTTTACATTCTATGTATCAAAAATATATTCTTAGGTCTTTCATTAGCACCCACCACCTGGTTTCAGGCTTCCTGTCCACTCTCCTAAGCCTTCTGTTCCAGTCATTATGCTCTCTGTTTCTTAATTACTCAGAAACAATGATTCATTAGTTGTAGCTAAATATATGAATGCTAATGTATATTTACCCATTTGGTTCACAGGAAAGGTTTAAAGTCCCAAAGAATTTTCTGGGGCTAACTTTGATAGAAAATGTGTTATGTGATATCCTGTTCAACATTTCCCAAATACTCTCTAAAGGCTATTTTGAAGGTATCTAATAGTTGCCCTCATCACATGGTCGGTAGAGAAATGCTCTCCAAATGTTACACCTTATGTGAGCACAGTATTTGATGACCTTATCCAATAAAAATGTTGGCTATGAAGTTATGACCATCAAGAATGTGAAGAGCAAGTCTAATATATGTAGGAGATCCTATGCTGTATTTACATTTTTCTTGCATATGAGAAGTGACCAGATGATTCTTCATCACTCCCATTTTTCTTTTGCCTGCATTTTCTTGCTTTTTGTTCTATACCTTTGTTCTTAAGTTTCTTACTTCTTAGAGAATCACAGGATTCTCTTTTATTTCCATAGATTATATTAAAGCAGGGGTAATTTTTAGGCAGATTTATGAGCAGATTCTCAGCAAGAAGAGAGATCAACAGAAGCACCTTCCCAGTACAGAGAAATCTGACAGTCAAAATGAATCATCATTTTCAGAGATTCACACTGGCCCTGCCTTCCAGACCCCTCCCCTGCAAGGGCTTTCAGTCATAGTAGACACCTAAGAAAGACTATCAGATACCTTACAAGTTAAAGTTTTTCTTTACTTATTGAAGATACAAAGGAAACATAAACATAAAACAATGAAGAATAAATGGATGACACTGGCATTTGATAGAAATTTTTAAAGTTAAATTCTTTTTTTCTTATTCAAAGAAAGGTTTGCCTGCTCTTTTGCCCAAAGCTTCACACATAAAAGCAAAGCAGAAACTGGAAATGCTTCATAC